TTCTTGTAGTTACAGCGAGTATTAATGAGGCCAGAAAAGTGGGAAAAGGAGTCTTGTGAACGGACTTGAATCTGATTCTGCCTCTGATGTATCAGATTGGCAGGGGTGCCAGAGGCAGCAGCTTGAATCTATTGTCATTTTATCTGCCTTAAATACCTTCTTTTTACGTAAAGCCACCTTCCTACGCGTTTTGCACCTTCCTTTAGGCTGCCTTCAGGCCTGTCTGTATGGCAAAGCTGTTTTGTTGGTCTGTATGGCAGGGGGGAACAATTGACTTGCACTTTGTCATGACAGATTTACAGCACAGGAAGACCACTTGAAAGAATGTTTCAGACTACTTTCAAATCAAATTTTTTGTGTGTTTGATCTGGAGGAGGCAGCATGTACCATCCTGGGGTCCCAGAGAATGGAACAGGAAAGCAGGACAGACTTGTCTGTCTGAACTTTGAAGTTAAACAAGAACAAACTTTAATCATTGTTGAAAACCTGCTCCAAACACATTTTGATGTCTAGTGTCTGATATTTAAGCATGCTATAATAGGTAGGGAAGAATACGTGGGATTCACAAGGCTTGGAACAAGATACAGATTTTTAAATAAAAATCAAGATAGATAGTCATTTGTACTCTTTTCTGTTCAACTTTGTTCAGACTGCAGGGCTGCCTTCTTTTACTGACATTCCATGCCTTACAGCCTCTCCTGCAATGATTGAGTTACGTGATATGGATATTTTGGGTTGCTAGACCAGACAGAAGGAAATTGACAGACTCTGTGTTTCTTAACTAAGAAATAAAAGCTGCATTTTACTTGGATATACCATTGGTGACACTATTAATTGCAATTGCCTGGGCTCACCTTGTAATTCGACTGTTATGTTGTTATTTATAGTTAGATGGTACACTTTTAAAGCAAAGGCAGTGTCTGGCAGGTTAATATTGCATGCCCACCACTTTCAATTTAGAAAATGAAAGAATATGGGTTGTTGTGTATGCTGTACTGTAGAAGACAGAAGTATATGAAATTTGTGATATCACATATGCAGAAACCCTGGCTGTATAAACAGAAGTCAGTATTTTATTCTGCAAGCTAAATTTGACTTTCCTATGAATTTGTTCACTTCAGAATTATTTTGCAACTCAGCAGATTTCATTTATTAAATGGAAATAAACTAGGAACTGAAAGAAAAAAAAAATTGTCACTCACATTTCTATTTGGACTCCCCAAGCATTTCTCTTATGGCTTCATTCTGTCTCATATTTCATAGCACATTTCTGTGAAAAGTAAATGAATCACCCACATATATAAAAATATTTCATAACACAGACAGATGGGTATGGATTTATATGTACAGAAATTTACACACATATACACAACGCACATAGGTATATAAAATATGGTCTCAGAATAAGAATATATGTGTGTACAGCTATACTGAATTCTTGGTGGTATGTTGTAGAACCCTTGGGTAAGTTTTTATGGATTTGATTTATTGGCTGACTGAGTTGATTCATTATTTGTATATGAAATTTTGCTGCTGGGTGGCCATAATTTACAATTCGGGACCTAGTTAACTCTGTGGGTGCCTAGAGTTTTCTGCATGACTATCTCCAAATATTGTTTGAAGAAATAAATAAAGTGGACTTGCTTGAATGAGCAATGTATTGATGAGGAGCAAAATATGGTCAGGCAGGCAGGTCACAGAAAATAGCTTTCAAAAAGTCTTTGTAAGCCACCATCCCATCATATATTTTCTTAACATACATACAAAAATCCATACATCTTACAGGCAGCTGAAGATCATCTGTGAAATGCTGATCATCATCTTTTTCTCTTGTTAAATTTGGTGCTATTCTGGTATTATTCTTGCATTATTCTACTTGTAAAGCTGATAGTTTTGCTGGTAGGCACAGAACAGAATTCTGAAGAGGCATGAAAAGTCAAAAAGTGCCTTGTCTTCATTTTGGTGTAAATGAAACATGACACTTACTTTCAGAATTAGACTTTAAGCTTTAACAGTTAGCAAAGCCATTTATTTTCCCATGACATAACCATATCTACTAGAGTAGTGGAATAAAACTGTTCTCTGTACCTTGTCTACTAGGAAGAAAGGACTTCTTCTGGTATTCAGCGTGGTCACAACTCTTCAGGAGGTTTGGAAGTAATGGGACACTCACTGCCTGTCACTTTTGCAAACCATTATTTCATTTGCTGCTATGAAGTCCAGCTGGTGTGTTTTGAGGCAAAAATATGAAAAGAGCCAGAGCACTCAAATTAAAATGTTTTCATTAACTGTTAAGTATTCGCAGACTATGAATAGTTGTAATTTGCAAGATTTCATGTAGGTCTCCAAAGGTGATTTGACTGTTTACAGGTCTAAATACTGGATATGAACTAAGTAAGACAAATTCAGCAGTGATTCTTTATGTGTTCCTACCAAATTTCACATGCATGTCTTCCATTGTGTACTTTTTACTTGAAGCCATTGGTCTGTGGTCCATAGATATTTCTGGGATTGCCTGTTGAGAAGAAATACTGCACGTAGACAACATAAATTTTTTCATAGCTGCAGTTTTCATTTGCAGTGTCATATAAAACTGAAGGGATTGGCCAGTCTTATTGAGATGGTGGGTACCTAACTGTTGAGAATGCATTGAAGAATTTTGGTAGTTGCCCACCAGGGGAAGTTCACTTCCTTTTGGCCATCTGTGACTGCTCCAGTTACAGATGTGTAATTCCACATTCAGCGGTGGCACATTTTATTGTAGCTGTGTAATTTATCACAATTCCATGTGGAATAACCGTCATTGTAGCTAAAGTTCTAAACCCTTCTCGTGTTTTAAGGAAAAGAACCAACCAAAGAAAAGAAACCCCTTTGCACATTCATTCAGAATTCCATGTTGTAAGCGCAGCCTCCTTCAGCATGCGTGTCACATCTTGGGAAGTCTGCTTCAACATCCATGAGGGAATGTTTCCTGTGTGTCTCCTTCTTTATCTAAATCTCAAATAACTTGCAAGAAAAGCAGCTTTCAATGACTTTTTAGTGTTTCATATGTTTCTGCTTTAATGCTTCTCTCCATCTATGCTTTGAAGAGAGTCTTGTAGCAATTCCTACAAGAAATTCCTAGGATTGTTCTTGCTTAAGGTTACAATTTGTGCAAGATATGCAGTTTTGTCATATTGTAGTGGATTTGAATGGGATTTTCTTAAGTGATGAAATAAAAGAGGAGTACAAATGCTACTGAATGTCACTAGGATTTAGACTGAAGACATGCACGAAAATCACAGATTTCAGTTTACGTGGGTTTGAAGTCATCAGATGAGTTGTCAAATTCTTGTGATGTATAAACACATTTCTTTGTTCTATCCAGCATGGTTTGCATTTATGTACATTAAAGGTATATATTTCTGCATATGTATCTGGATATAAAAATACCCCAAAATGCAAGTGAAAGTCATTCAAAAATTTGGGGTTTTTTTTAAATCCTTTGCATAGGTTATCTGGAAAATCAATTGCTTTCTGTGATTTAGGGAGATGTAAAACAGGAATAAGTATAGATAGACTATCTATATTTTACATTCTCTTCCCATGCTTTACCAGTTCAGGCGATCAGCAATCTAAAAATGCGTATAGATTCTTGAAAAATGTGTGTTTGCATGTCACCTTTATTTTTTCATTCCTCATGCCTCAAATCTCTGCTGAAATTTCAGTGTTACCAGCTTTCTGAATGATAAAGGACATATTTCTTGTGCTCTCAAGCAATGAGTGCCAAAGGCAACAGAATGAAATTTGTATGCAACACTATCTACGCCCCACGTGCGTGTCCATTTATCTCAATAACTGACTGTCATCTTTGTGTCTGTACATCCTACAATGACAATCAGAGCCCAACGCTGCTCAAGATGTCAAATTTCCAGGGATAGATTTCTAGCTGCAGGCAACTCCAGCTAAATACCTCATATTGAGAACACACTCCTCCTTGTCGCTGACCACATTAGAGCCTTTCATGTAGCTTCATATGTGGCTTTTATTTATTGTCTACTTCCACCCATGCCTTGAACTGCAGTGGTTTTCAGAAGTGATTGTGCTCTAAGCACATATGTGCACTTCAAGATGTGTTTTCTGTAGTTAAGGAACTTTCTTTGTATATCAAAGTAAACATGGTATATATGCAGCTGCCTACACAAATTTTTGCTGCATTTTGGTGAACTTTGAAATTTGTTCAACCATTTAGTCAATAAAACTCTTTTAAAAGGAAGATCAGATATTTTCATATGCATTTAATGTACAATTTTATAAAATATAATAAGATTTGGAATCACAAAGGTAAGTGTGTTTTCTAATTCGTGGATTATTGGAATTTCATTATCTCCCAAAAGTTGAATTCAAAATTAGGAGCAGAATGTTATTCATTTCCCAGTAAGAATATAATTACTTCCACTCATCTGCTTATCAGCCTTTAAACTTATTTAAAGGTGAAGAACTAAAGAATAAAGAATTTCCTTCACTTCCTTAAGAAATGAAAACCAAAACAAACACAAAATTCATGAATAATAATGAGTACGACCAGCAGCAGGATAGCGTGCACATATTTCTTGTCAAGAAAAAGTAATTGCAGCACTTGATGTGAAAATGAGATTTATGTCTCGTGCTAATTTTTACTCTCCACCTGATTGTATCAGTACATGGGAAGGAATTGTAGTCCTTCTGGCTAACAAGCATTAAACAGGCTGGTGAGCAGCCAGCATTACATTACACAGAATGCAGAAAAAGCTAACAAGAGTCTAAATCTCAGAGATTTTAAAACACTAACGTAAAACTAAGACAAAAGCTTTTAGCATAAGAGAATAAAATTAGGCTAATAATTTTTTTCCACTTTTTTATGTGATATGGAAAACCACAGATGGCTTGTTCTGTTTTATTATCTGTAACAAAATCCAAGCTATTATTATGAAATCTATAATTCATATTAAAATATTTTTGTTATCCTTGATTTGTCCTAGATCAGAGGAGGAAAGCTTATGATCACGTACACAAGAAAGAATGATGCTGGCAAATACGTTTGTGTTGGAACAAATATGGTTGGAGAGCGTGAAAGTGAAGTTGCAGAGCTCACTGTTTTAGGTAAGAACTCCTTTCAGATTCTGCTGATGAAAATGTCCATCTTTTGCTTTTCCTAGTAAGCCTTTCTCTAAAGATTACACTCTTCCATTTCCTTTTCAGTGCTGAGAATGTTTTTCTTGTGGTTGAGATCTAGTGAATAGAAGGAAGGTAATGGCTCTGCAGCCTACCTGGGACAATTTTTTCTAGTATAAGATGCTTTTGTATTTAATTCTTAAACTGAAAATAATTCCAGTGTCCATAACTGGATCAGTATTATGAAATAACAGCAAAATAAATATTAACAAGTTTAAGAAGAAGAGGCTTAATCAAGCCAATCAATCAAATTTAAGAAGAAGAAGCTTAAGAATCAGAATTACTCTAAATTTCTGTTTGGAATAATTATCCTTTCATTTATAGGAGCGTATGCTGAGTGTTGTCATGCTACAACAGATCTGCTTGTTCAAGTGATCCTATTGATAGTCCCTCTGAGCATCCAAAAATATGTTTTCATTTAAGATAGCTGAGCTTAGCTGAAAATTGCATGTTTTGTTTTTTTCCACATCAGAAGGGAAGCTGTAAATCCAAGTGCAGTATCAATATTCCTTCAGCACAGGAGAACTTAGGTGGTTTTCCTTCAAAAATATGTCCCATTTGACTTTAAAGTGGAGGAGGCTTGAGAAAGCCTGACTGTTTCTGCAAAAATATGGTGTTCTATCTTTACAGGATGAGACCATCCAAGCCCTGGTTCACAGCACACTGGTTTCCATCACAATGCTGCTGCAGTACCAGTAGATTGTTGGTGGATTTATTTTTGTTAAATTCATGTTTTAAGAGCTGTCTTGTCTGTCTTTGGCACTTTTATCTGTCTTCCCTACAGTGTTGAACTAGGACTCCAGCAACTTGAAGACCTATTCAGAGTTTCGTGTGAAGCAGGGTTTCCCTTAATAAAACAAGGTTTTATGCCATCTTAAAATTGTTCTAACTGAATATCCAGGGAGAAAGTGGTATGTAACCCTTTAGAGGCTTTGGTTTTGTGAAAAACACTTTTGAAGCACTAGGGGAGGAAGTTTATTGTCAAACAGACTTTCAGAGCATTCAAGCAAAATCTAAACTGGAAAGTAAGTTGTCATTACATGAATAAAGTCCTTGCTCCAGGCTCCTGTTTAACTGTACCATTTAATAGCTCATCACTGGTCTGCTGCCAGCCAGGGAATCATGGGCTGGACTGTTTGGTAACTTAGGCTGAACTTGCTAAATACTACCCTTGCTAAAAACCTGTAAGAGGAGTGCACTGCAGGCAGAGCTCTGCCTGGCTCTTTCTTCATCTCTTGTTCCTTTCAGACGTATTTCAGATTTTCAGCCTGGGGAGATTAGCAAGTTGGTTTTTTTTTCAAATGGGGCAGTCAAGCTTTGAATGTCTTACCAGCCTGTGTCTAGAAATCTTTAATACACCTTATTCTTTTAGCTCAGACTTGGATATGTGTGAAAAAGCACGAGAAATATGCTGACTTAATATATTAAACTTTTTCTACATTAATCTTCTATTTATGAGATTTGGTTATTTAGAAGTTGAACTTTTACTTCTAGGTCTCTGCTTTAGATCAGAGGGAGGATTGCATGTCAGAAACTGTAATACTAGAAAGTTTCAAAGTGATCCTTGCTAAGCTTTCCTTGTATGTACCAAATAATCGTGTGACAAAGATAGATTCTCATATCAGTGCTGATTTCCCTTATCCATTTCTGCATTTGAATGAGAGTGTTACAAATGGGCAGACAAAAACTCTTGCAAGTCCATTACTCTTCTTTTAGGAAAATGATCTGGAGAGCAATGTGCCTCTTGTGGGTTTTGCAGTTGGGCAGCAGTCCTGGACTTGCCAGAGCAGTCCTTTTTCTCTTGCATACTTAAGTTAGATATTCTTCTCCAAACTATTCCTACTCTGAGGTTTAATCTGGATATTCTTTTCTTGCATTCAGGTTTCATTTTTTCAGCACCTACAAGAAAGGGGCCAGGGTAGGGGTTTGTTTATAAGAATAAAAGATAAAAAAATAAAAAGATACAAATATTTTTAATTCACAGTTAGATTTATGTCTCTAGATCTCTGTTTTATTTCTCATTTCTTGTATATGAACTCAGGCTAGAACTGACAGCTCAAAGATCAACTTGCTATTTCATTTAACATTGTTTCCTACCATTGCCAGCAAAGTTAAGTTTTCTACAACACAAGTGTTCAGACCAACTGGTCTGGACATCCTCGAGAATAAAGGAAGCTTTTTTTTTTAATAAGGTTTTGTTGAGTTCACATTTCCTTTTTGAACCATTATGTTTTTGTAATATTGAACCTCTATGTCTGCAAAGCCAGAGTAATATTTAGAACTGCTTTTTTCAAACACAAATGTGAGACATGAAGAGCATGGGATTGTCTCTTTATCCTTCTGTCTGGTCATTTTGTACTCCTGTGAGAAATTTGTGGTGTATTTTTGGGTATTCACACTCCCTGATGGTGCCGATGGCTTCAGACTCTTGCAGTTCCAGGGGAATGATATTTATATCTTTAGTACATACAAGTCAAAACATGCAACTGCCTTCTCAACTCCCTTAGAGCTTTCACAGGTTTATAGACAAAAAGTTCATCTGCCTTAGGCAAAGGAACCTGCCAAACACTCTCCTATTAAACCTTCCCAGTTCTTTTATGGACATGCTGTTGTCATCTGGTGCTGCTCTTCTAGATGGGTCATTCCTGGAATATTCCAGAAATTGTTTAAAACCACTTTTATCCTTGGGAGTTTGCAAACCTCACTGAAGTGCAGCCTGGTGTGGAACTATGAAAGTATGAATAGCCCAGCAACCTAGAGCTTTGAATCCTGTTACAGGTAGCAAAGTGTATCAATGCCTTTCCTGAAATTCTCAGGGTTTACCTGCGATAATAACGCAGCCTGTACTGAGATCGCCTTTTGTTACAGAAAGTCTGAGCGGAAATGTGCAGCAATTAATCTGACTCTGGTGACCCAGGACCTGGATTATCCATGTCCTCCAGTTTAAATCAGGGATAGCAGCAGTTTTGATGAGCAAAAACTACAGAGAGGACATTCTGTGGTTTTTTTGGCTTGTTTTACTTCATGTGTGCTGGTGAAAAAAAACATTGCCTTTCAAATGTAGCACGGGAAATTATTGCAAGGAATGTTTGCTGCTGCTGACACCTGCGAGCAACCTCACAGAGATCCTGTGCAAGCTGGACACAGAACTGCTGGATTAATCCTTGTTTTTCTTTCCCTTTAGAGAGACCATCTTTTGTAAAGAGACCGAGCAATTTGGCGGTGACTGTGGATGACAGTGCGGAGTTTAAGTGTGAGGCAAGAGGTGACCCAGTCCCTACAGTGAGGTGGAGGAAAGATGATGGGGAGCTGCCAAAAGCAAGGTGCAGTGCTTGGAGTTACCCTTTCTGTGGCATCTGGCTTGGTACATGATGGGGCCATTGAGTGGTTGACAGCTAGCATTTCTTTGTCTTCAGTACAAAAGGCCTGATCCAATGAAACATTTCTAATTAGCAGCGTGCTCTAGTTGAATTTACAATTTATGTTGAAACTTAAGAATGGCCTGTTTTCAAGTTTTTGTTGTGACAATACATGACAAATATAAAATAAAAAAATTCAGCCTATCTATACCAGATACAGATTAATTCTTCACCTGAAGAGTCTTTTGTGATTACTGAAAGTTTTGGAGAATGCATAACAAATAGTAAAAGAGATTACAACTTCAAGAAGTATAAATTGGAATTGCAATGGATATAAAAAGTAGTCTGGTTATGTAGAAAGCTGCTTGGTTGTACATGTTTTTGTTACTAGGTTTCCAGTGAACTTATTTTTTTGTCGTTGCTGTTATTCAGGCCAAAAAGTAAAGCACCTTATTAAAAATAAATACATCCTGTGATGGATCAATATAGAGTTAGATTAAATATATATTTACTTCCTTTGAAATCCTAATTATCAGTTTAAAAAACTTCCAAGGGAGTGGATTGAAAGAAGAAACCCTTTAACAGTTGGCTTTGGCCAACAAATCCAGCTTCTTGATAATGTAGTCTATAGCTTTAATAAAAACTATCATTTTTAGGAGAAAAATGTACTTACCATAAATAGAAACACATGGACTACATTATACAAAAAAGAGAGAAAGGTGATGAAAGGAAAGCAATTGGTAAAAAGCCACATTGTTCTTTAGGAAAGGAAAAAAAAACAAAAATAAAGGAATGAATTCTGATTTATCTTGACTTTCAAGCAATTCTGATCTTGTTGGGAACATTATTTTCTTTTAAACCATATTAATAAAATATTCAGATGGAGAGTAATAAATATTATTATATTTACTTGTTAAAAGAATTCTAACAATTCAGACATTCTCCATTAGAGCTTTGTGATTGTGTGCAAATAATATCAGAATAGGTTTTCAAATACTTGGATATATTTTGGTTTTAAAACTTCATTTTACATTATCAATTTATAAGTATCTATACTTTTTTTTTTCCCTTATGGGAAATACAAAAATAAGAATATTTGAGAACAAATGCCCCATGTTTTTTACATTTTACAGAAATTGTAAAAAGTCCTGTTTTTCCTGCTCATTGTTAACTACTATGTCTGTTTAAAGATATGAAATCCGTGATGATCATACCTTGAAAATCAGGAAAGTTATGGCAGGAGACATGGGATCATACACTTGCGTTGCAGAAAATATGGTTGGAAAAGCTGAGGCATCAGCAACTTTAACAGTTCAAGGTAAGAATGTTTCTTTGCAAAGAATAAAGTTGAATAAAGATGTACTAGAATAAAGTTGATTTTGTTTGTACTTCAACTCTAGAGATAAAAAAATGTGAAAATACAAATTTGGCTTGAGTTGTATTCTGAGGAAGTGGAAACACTTCACATGTAAGATTTTTTTAAGCAGTCTTTACAATACTGGGATGGGGAACTGAGTATGTTTTGAATTTCTGTTTTTCAAGTTCAGAATCAAGTCACTTGAAATCTTTGTATCTGAAACACAGAAAGCAGTCAGTGTTACTGGGCTGCATTGTTTTAATTCAAAAAGAAAGAGTTGCAAGTTCAAGTATCTGCCAAGTTTTTTCAATTAAATGTAGTAGAGAAGCAGTGAATGATAAATCTGTTTGTGTATCTTTTAATACACCAACCCAGACCACTGGAATTCCTGTTGCTTTTTCATTATAAAAGCGTATCACAGCACTACTGTTTCTTTGTAAGATAAAAATTCAGTGGAACTCGGTGAACTAATATGTATAAAAATCCTTCACTGCCTTTATATACACAATCCAGATGTTCACTGTTCAGATAATCCCTCTCTTCCTTTCCTGGCTAGCAGACAGGCAATGATGTCATCCTGATGCTTTTTTCTGGTCACTGATGGTCCTGTCCTTTTCTCTGTTCAGTGGGAATTAGTCATTATGGAGTTCTGGGGAAGTATAGGCTTAAAAGTATTTTATTTGGTAACAGACCTCTATTTTGACACATTTACTGTAACAGGAAAGGTCTTGTCCTTAAGCTGCTCTCCTTTTTCCACCAGAAACATTTGGTGTCCCTCTGTTAGCAAAGTATTGAATTCTTTTGTTGAAGCTCTCATAAAACCAAGAATTTTGAGATGTTCTGTTTTGTTCCTCACCATGATGTTTATACATCAAAACTCATACCTTATGTTTTTAAAATAACCAGCTCTCATGTTCAGTGGTGTAGAATAAAGGATAAACTTGTGAGCAGCAAGCACAGTTTATTCAAAGGGAAAAGACTGAATTATTTCTTAAATGGTGATTTGTTCTGAAGGTCACATCTTAAATCAACCATCAATCCTGTAAAATGTTACTTTTAAGAAAATTTGCTTTAATGACCGGTTGAGCAGTTACATTTCTGGAAATTAAATCTTGGTAGCCCAAATCTTTCATAGTCCTATTCAAAATAATAAGCAAAAACATACTTGAACTCCCATTTAGCTTAACGGTGCAAATAGATATAAAATGGCTTGTGTAGATGTTAGAAATTGAGTGAGATCTTTCTGATAATAAACTGATATTTTTAAGGAACAAGATCATAGCTGAAGTCCTGATTCATCAAGATCCTAATTTTAAAGTGCTTGTATTACACAGTAGATATTTACATTGTGGCAGCTCTGCTCTGAGGATACTGTTATGGGATAATTTGTTTCCCAGTGAGAATGGATTACCTCCTGAGCCATTTGTCTGCACTAATGTGTTCATAGGAGGGATTGATGTGAGAAGCTGTAATGTGTAGGGACAATTTGTTGTTGGTAATGAAATAAATTATGATCAAAATCCATTTATTAGCGTATCCAAGAGACCAAGTTTTATGGGAGGGCAAAAAACACTCCCCTAGAAAATTCATTTTCCATTCAGATTTTTTCACATTTTTCCTCCTTTTTCTGCCTTCTCCTCTTTTTCCCTCCTCTCCTCTTCCCTTGTTAAAACATTTTTTTTTCCTTTAGGACCAGCTTTTTGACCATGTAGAAAAGTAGACTGATGTTACCAGCACTAAATTAAGATTGCTCTGACTGTTTGTGGACACACAGCTCTGAATTTTTTGGTTGGTTTGTCGCTTTTTTATGATTTTTATGGAGGTTTTTTTCTAGGCAATTTAAGGAATGCAACTGACAACTCTTTTCTGCACTTTTGGTTATTGTCACATGATCTATTGACTGTAGAGTTTAGTAAATGTGTGTTCTGCTGTGCCAAAGTGAGTTCTTTTTGTTGCCTATTTGTAAACAGAAGGCTGCATTGCCAGTCACAGCCTCAGACATTACAGCTGCCACTGTGCAGGCATGTTAAATTCAGCAGTGTGCAAGGACAGGGTTTGGCATGGGTTTGAGCGGGTTAGGGTTATTTGTGGAGCTTTGGTTTGGGTTTTTTCCTCTCCGGTATCTCAGCAACAGGCTGTGGTGTTTCTGTGGCAGCCCCTGTGGCAGAGCAGGAATATGAGAGCTGTCAGTGGTGACCCCAGACGTGTGTCCGTGTCAGGAAAGGGACAGTCCCCGTCTGTCAAGTGTCTGCACAGCGGGGCTGTGGCAGGGAGTGAAACGTGGCACACAGCAGACAGGGCTGCAAGCAGTGCTCTTCAGGGCCTCAGGGCTGGCAGCACTGAGGATTTATCTTCTTCTCTACTCATCATTTCCACTCACACTGTGGCTGACCCGAGTGTGCTCTCTCCTGTGGAGGGTTATCTGGGGCACTGAAAGGTGGAGCGTGCAGCACCAGGGCAATTGAGATACGCAGCTGTCAGGGAGGTGTGGATGGGAGGTGGTGAACAGCTCTCCTGGGTCTCACGTGGAGCTGCCCTGGATCCCACAGGACCCTTTCCTCCTGCTCAGCCCTGCCCCTGCTCCATGCATGATGCATGCCCTGCAGGGCTCCCTGTTTTGGGAATGCTCTCGGGAATGCTGCACAGCCAGAGCCAGAGCGCTGCCTCTGAGCTGGGAGCTGGCCCAGGCCACGTCCCTGGACTAGGAACTGTCAGCTCAGATAGTTCAGCTCTCCCTCTCTCTGTGTAATAAACTGTTAACTGTAGAAAATACAAGAGAGGGGAGGGAATATCAGTTCCATTTTTATGTTCTTCCTGCTCATGGCACTGGCGTCACAGATGCTGGTTATTGGAATCACTGTTCTCTTCTGTACAGGCTCCTAACTTTGGGGATCATAAGTGTTTCCTACATACAGATGTTGTATTCTTACTGTGACTTCAGCCATATTCATAAACCAGATTTGGAGTTCTTTATTGACGTAGTGAAGTTTGAACTCTTCCTTTAGTTTTTTACTCCTGCAGTTTAGAAGCATTTCCATCCCTAAAACTGTCAAGTTATCTTATTGTCTCCTTGGAAAATTAAATAGTTAAGGAAATGTAATCCTGATGTTGTTTCCATATACCTAAAATTGGAGAGTTCGACCCTCTGTTTTCATTTTGCAGCAATGTGTACTGCATCTGTAAGGCATCCAGAGACATTGCTGCATACATGTGGAAGCATTTCATTCAGGAGATGATTAATTATTAAATAAATACCTCAGTCAATACATAATGCCAGGAAGCAGCCCAGAGTACAATACATTATATTTTGCCAACACATTATGTTTCACAAAGGGGCTGATCTACTTCAGAAAAGGAAAAAATGGCAAAAAAAAATGGCATCACTGGAACCAATGGACTTCTCTCTTGCTCTAGCACTAAGCAAGCTGGATATATTTATTGAATTTATACTGTATTATGTATTTGATTGATATGCAAGATGCATTTTGTGTTTTGTGTAGGTTTCCATTATGTGACTTGCTTAGTTTTATGCCACAAAGCAGGACTGTGGGAAATAAAATGTAACATATTTCATTACTACATATACAATTGAAAACAATGTTGCTAAAACATATAAAATTACCAAAAATGCACACTTCAGAACTTCAGTACTAAAAGAGAATTAATTTTACCATTAATGCAAATGGAATTAGGGCATCTTCAGGAATCTGCAGATTCCACATTTGACTATGAAAATGCTCTCAAGCAAATCTACGAACCAAAGATTTTACATATTCTCACCTACTTCCATTTGCTTTGCTCCCATTTGCAGTACTCAGTTTGTCTTTTCTGACATCTACTTTTCCACTAAGTTTATAATTTCTGGTGAAGCGAGCTGTTCTCTCTGAAACACACAAGTGTAAGTTACGGTTCCAGTGGCAGCCCTGCTCTGCAGCTGGCCAGGAACCATCGCAGCAGTGACCGTGAAGATGAGACTCAGCAGGAGTTAGGAGCAGCAGCTCGAGTGGCTCAGCTGACTTCAGGACTTCACAAGAGTGACACCAACACTGGCTGGAGGTGGCTGTGGTCAGTCAGCAGCAGATTGCTAGTGAACAGGAATCTTTGAGTTCTTCTTAGTTCTCACTACCCAAGCAGTGGCTCTGGAGGAGTGTGCAATACTTGCTACAGGGCCCTGCCTAACCTGCACCTAAACCTGCTGCAGTGGTGACTGGGCTGTAAAATGTAAATTTTGGCATTCAAAAGCACTAAACTCATTTGGTGTTATCTGTTTGGCAGGAAAAAAGAAGAATTCCTATGGAAATTGTACCAGCCAGTTCATATTTTACAGTGGCATCTCTGATACCAAGCCTTTTTAGATTATGATGTCTTTAATTTTAAGGTTAACAGAGCTTGTCTGCAAGGTATATAGAGAGCAGAACTTTTGATAAGTGACTCCTGGCTGTGATTTTGCTGCACAAATCAACTGACAAGGAATTTTAATCTGAAAAGGTGGCACAAGCCTCAGGTCTGGAATTTCTTCCTCCTCCTCCTCTTTGTGCAAGGTAGCTTCAAGGCACACAGGTAAAAGACATCTATTTGATAAGGCTTCTGGAAAGGGCTGAGAATACCACCCGGAATATAAAGGAATGGGATTTGCTCTTTCATCTGTCTGATACCACATAAATGTTTCCACTGTGTCATGCTGCTGGTACACATTATAAGTTGGCTGTAAGTTTAACTGCATTAAGCATTAAAATAAGAAGGACAAAATTCAGAATTGTATGAGATTACAGAAATGCTGTTGACATACACAGCAATTATTATGCATTGTAGTGAACCCTTCACAGTCTCAGGGCTTTAAATTTCTCATTGGAATTTTAAAACTAGGATTTGGATTTAAGTCTGAACTTGTCTTCCTGTTCTCTCTTTAAATCAGTATTTCTTCTTTCGAAATAACTGATTTGATGCCATATTCTGCCTTC